ATAATATATGTAAAAATAGTAATTAGACCATGAAAATTAGCAGCGCCCGACGAGTTGTGTTTTATTTTTTATGTAATGGGATTTTGTAACATATAAGAGATAAACTCGTGTAGATTTATGCTATGGATAAACTTTGTATAGATTGGAATTTGCATACCTAAAAAATAGGAAAAAGAAAAAGATATATACACAATTAAGCTGCCGAATTTTTTGTAAAAGAAATACTAATATTTACTGTCACCGTTTTGAGTACCAAAAAAACAGGAAAAAGAAAAACAGATATATACACAATTAAGCTGCCGATTTTTTTTCCTTATCAAAATTGTCCAAGAATAACTATATATAGGATACATTTAATGATAATGGCGGGAAAACCTTTCTAGATTTGTGAAAAGGTTATTCTTTTTATATAATGATAGATTAATGGATTTTTTTTTCTTGAAAATTAATGGATATTGATTTTACCAAATATAAGGTAAGGATTTTGGATTTGTTGCAAACTGATATTTTCAAAAGTTGAACGTTTAAAGAATTATTTGTACCATAATTAAGCAATTTGGTTACCAAAATATCAGGATACTAATAGATTGATGTCTCATATTTTAAACCTCATTTGCACGTGTTTCAAACAAATTAATCAAATGGATTACCTGAAAAAAAGGATCATAATATTCGCAAACAAATAAAATTGATTGGAAAAATTAATTAGCACATGTTTTAATCATCTTACTTAAGTTAGGAAGTCAATATTTTATTTTTTCAGTCAAACTTACTATTTCAATATTTTTCCAACAACCTCATTATATTACTATAGATTGTTAGGTAACCAAGTTGATGAGGAGTCTTTCTATGACGTAAAGGTAGTGGCTTTGAACCCCACTATTGAGATTTTATTTTTAAGTCAACATATTAATTTTCAAGTTATTTTCTCATGATATTTTGATATATCACAAAAAAATAAATTTATTAGCAATTTATCATAATTTATCATGAGGGTATACTGGTAATATCAAGGAAAAAGTAACGTCGTTAGCAGTAAAGTAATCAATAATAAACATGGCGAGTGTGCATGAAGACTTTAAATATAAGAGGGTTCCCTAGATTTTTTTTTTTTTTAAAAAAATATAGGGGAAAACACTTAGTTTTAACAAAATACAAAAGGATTTTACGCAATTTACCCCACAGTAATTTTAAATGATCAATTGAAAAAGATAAAAAAATATTATCATACAAAATTGACGAGTCAGAAGACATTTAGACATAGATCCCCTTTCTCTTGGCGAAACCCTTCTCCACAAATCTCTCGGCGAGCTCTTCCAAATTCCGGCTGATTTACCTTCTCCGGTGACGGCTTAGTCTCGGCTAGGGGTCGTCGATGACCGTCCCGGCCTTCCTTGACTACGCGCGTCTCTGATGCTCATTGGATGGGCTGCGTTCGTGGCTTCGGCTTCCGGTTGCAGAGAGGGATTCAGGTTGTGGTTTACCGGTGATGCTCCGATTTGGAGTGGTAAGTACCTTCACTTTCCCTTGTATGCGATTGTTGGGCTGTGTTTCCGGCGGAGCTCCGTCTCAGGCGAGTTTGAACCATATGGCTCGAACCTCTGGTCGGGCGTCGGTGGAGTTGTTGGGCGGCGCGAAGATCTATGGGTGGTCGGGACTCCAGTGGCTGCGGCGTGATTGTTGCGGTGGTCGGGGTGAGGGCCGTTTCCTCTTGCTCTATCCTCCGTTTGCCTAGTGGTGTTAGGCGGCGGGGGAGATTCTATCGATCTCGTCTAGTGGTGTTAGAAGAGTTCGGAGGGAATCAGAGTGGGATGGATTTCAGCTCCCTCGATTTTCGATGGGTCGATTCGGGGACTGGTTCGGGATTAGGATTCTGCTATTGTATAGGCTTGATTGCAGTTTCGGTAGTAGGTTCTTGGCTTGGATTAGTCTTGAGTCGATCGTTCACTGCTGGTTCAGGCTAGCTCGTTCGCTGGGGAAGGCTGTTAGATTTATTTTAGTTTATTTGTGTTATTGTTTCTAGTGTTTTTGTTTTTGAGTTTGTATTTGTGTTGCGAGTGTCTTGTGTTTTTGGTTTGGGTCGTTGACCCCTGTGAGCCCTGAGTGTCAAACTTACTATCCTGTTGGGATCTGACACTCGAGTATTATCCTGTTGAGGTCCTTGTAGTTGCTTTAGTTGTTTGTGTGTTTTAGTTGTTGGTTAGTTTAGTTATGAGTGTTTTTTTTTTCTAGCGTTGCTAGCCGAGATTTTAGGCGGTCTTCTGACCTGTCCTTCCACTTTTTCAGCTGTTGGCTGCTGTGTATTCGCACATTTGTGCATTTTAATTTATAATATTATCTATCGTTTTTGGGAAAAAAAAAAGAACACAGTTAGACATCTAATGTCGTGCATAAAGAAAAAAAAGTATAATAATTTATTTAAATTTTATAATTATATTTATTAGACATCTAATGTCCTGTATAAAGAAAGAAAACTATAATAATTTATTTTATATTGTATAATTATATTTAAATTTTAATACGTAGTATAGTCAAATACTAGTACGTACCCCGTGCGATGCACAGGAGAGAGATATTAAATGAATTATTTTCACATACTCTGTCCGTTTAAGTCTGAGAAGGGTTATCATCTATTTTCCACCTCTTTTAATCACCGTTAAGTCCCGTTTAAGTCTGAAAAGGGTTATCATCCATTTTCCAAGAGTTAAAAAAAATTAAAATTAAATTTCGAAATATACCAAACAACATTGTTTCATCAGCATTGTCGATGTCCATTAGAGTTGCAAAATCTCTAAAGGCAAAACGAAATGTAGAGAAAGAATGAGGGCACTTGATAAATTTAGTATCCTTATTGATCACAAGTCTCCAAGTGCATATTGTGGTTTGGTAAATGCCTGTGTTGCTTTCAACTTGGTAATTTTTGAGAACATACACGACCCCTTCTTCCACTTCATTGATGAATTTAGAGATATGCATGGGTCGGACCAAAGCATTGATACGTCCTCCATAACAAATTACATACAACAAACAATTATTTCAAATTGGAGTGAAGAATTACAATTTAAAAAATAACAAAGTTAATAAATAAATGTTCCAATACGTACTTTAGAATCATGCATTAAAAACTCAAGCGGATTTTTGTAACCACGATCCTCCTCTCGTTGGAACATTCTAATAACACGTAGCTTAATGAATGGTCGATTAGTTCTTTTGAGATCTTTAATAGTGCCAAAAACCGGAGCCATCTTGAATAGTAGGCGAAAGGTAAAAGAAAAATATTATTGGTTGTGTGTTTTATGTTTTATACGTGTAAAATAAATTGCTCACAATGGGTGTATATATAGTGATTGAGTTTGTGGTGTGTGCAATATTAATTATTTTTGCAAGTTGCGTAAGATACGAAATCGTTCGTGTACATAATTAAAGGATTATTGTATGATATCAATTGCCAATTAGGATCACATTAGAATTGTGTTAAAACTAATCTTCCCGAACACATAGGATTCCCAAAAACTTGATTTCCTTAATAATTGATATACGATACACATATTTACGTACAATTAGACACAAACCAAATCCTGAAAATCCAATTTCATTTATTCCCGAAAGTCTATTTCTCGAAGATACGATTTCATTCATATTTCAATTAGTAATATCTGATTGATTTTAGTTTAATCAGGGTACAATCACGTAACAATTTGTTTAACAATTAGTTTATAATTAGTTCAATTGACATATTAAATAAATCTGAAATATTAATTGATTTATTGTGTTTCAATATATTAATCAATATAGTTTTTTAAAATTGTTGGTGTAATTTCGAACTGATTTTATTCCAAATTTAAGAAGAAAAAAAAAATGTGTCTGTACATATCATCAAAGATATGAATTGATTTATATCCTATATATATTTGTATTGTTCGAATAATCACATCCACTTAAATAGGTAATTGACTCTTTCTTGCAGGGATAGAATATGAGGACTCTATTTTAGAAAGTAATAATGTGAAAGATTCAACCGCAATTTTTGTAAATGAGGACTCTATTTAGAAGACTGTATTCAACCGCAATTTATGGATGTGATTTTATTTTACTACATCTGATATCAATCAGCCCATTAGGATTTAGGATAATTAGACAATTAACAAATAATAATTCATATTGTTGCATGGGCGGATTCAATGGGATCCAATCAAATCTGATCACCTTATCAAAAAATCAAAAGGCTTTTACGATTAGGATTTAGGATAATTAGACAATTAACAAATAATAATTCATATTGTTGCATGGGCGGATTCAATGGGATTCAATCAAATATAAGACTTTTACGAATTAAAGAAGCGGCAAAAATAGAAAATCAAAAGGATTTTACGAATTAAAGAAGCAGCAAAAAAAGATTAAGAAGCAGGAAAACTGAAATCTTTTTTTCAAAGTTTTTCAAACATTATTTCTTCTCCATATTATATATTAATAGATACCAGTGTGCATGTGAATGAATTAAAGAGTATTTGTATCGTAATAAATTTACCTTTACCAAAAGAATTATATATATATTGTTAAAAACTTTTCCAATCCGATTCATACAACTCTTAAAATAATATAATAAAATTGACAACATTAAACTTTCATCAATATAAAGTTAGAAAAACTCGCATGGTCAATCTTTGACCAGCCAAAATAGGTGTTCATTTGTTTTTCCAAAAAATGGGAATGGAAAATCTCCTGAGCATGGCATCAGATTTTATCAATAACTACAATCTATGAATAAAATTTACAAATTCAAACCCGTTTCAAGAATCATTAATATCATTTGGATTAAAAATGAACTANAAAAAAAAAAAAAAAATGAACTAGGAGAAGTAATGTTGGCTAAATACACAATCCCATCATTTAGTTTATTTCTTCCATTTAATCCTACATCACCTATAAAAAGGGTTTGTTGCTCTCATTATCTTCCATCACAATCACAAGAAGCTAAATCGATAAATAGAAGAGAAAAAATGTCAAGAGTAATTTTTTACTCTCTTTTGTTCGTTTTTGCCCTCTTGTTTCTCACCACACCATACCTTGCTCAAGGTGCTGAGGATGACAGTTTGAATCCATCATTTGACGAAAAAACCAAAATCTTAAATGAAGATGAAGAGATATGGAGTCTCGACTCATCCAAGCACCACCACCACCATCACCGCTACCACCCAGGGGCTCCATCACCACATGCCCACCACCACTACCATGCTCCGACACCTCATCACCACCAGCACCATGCTCATGCTCCATCGTCTCACGGTAGCCACCACCACCACCACCACTCTCATGCTCCATCACCTCACGGGGGCCACCACCACCACAGAGGTCGGCACCATGGTCATCATGCCCATCCTCCCAAGAAGGCTACAACCCCAAGCCCTAGTTGGATTTGATGGAAAAGTTCACAAAATGAAAGTGTGTGTTTAATAACTTCGGCTACTTTATTATTAATAAAAAAAAGAAATAGCAATTTGTAAAATAAATTTTCTTGGTCTGATATGACTAATGATTTCAATATAAGTTTATTGTGTGATATTTTTTATGTTGGATGGTTATGTTTTTCAGGTAAAGTATTAAAATTAAGTAAAAATTTATGTTTCCAAACAAAATATATCTTATTTTGGACCAGTATACATTTTCCTTTTAGAAATTGTATATTGGTTTATTGGTTTTATACATGATTTAAAACAGTTCATTTTTATCGTGAGTGATGTGCCGGAGACCTATATCTAGGTTGAACCAGTTGAGAAAGAGCTCTGATCATCCCTGAGTCGCCAACGACCTACAAAACAAAGTGTATGGAATATATGAAGAGTGTAGAGAGAGTATTTCATGTGTACCTCACTTCCTTTTTATAGGGGAGTACCTTCAAGGAAGACGACTACAGTTGTTCTACGAAGAGCTAGGCATCAAGCACTATTTTTTTACCCCTTACCACCGTCAGTCAAATGGCCAGGTTAAGATCGTAAACAAAATCACCAAACAAGGACTGAAGCTCCGATTTGAATCAACAAAAGGGGTCTGGTCGGACGAGCTGCCGAGCATATTGTGGTCGTACCGTACCACGACTCAATCGTCGACAGGGGCGACTCAATCGTCAACAGGGGAGACACCATTCTCTCTTGCTTACGGCTCCGAGGCAATGATCCCCGTTGAGCTCGGCGCCACGACGTACCGGGTAACAAATGTTGAAGCATGCGCAAACTCGGAATCCTTAAGAGCCGACCTTGATCTGATAGAGGAGCATCGGTCGCAGGCCGAACTCAAAAACACCGTGTAGAAAAGACATAGCGAAAGGTACATCAATGCTCAAGTGAAGCCCCGCACCTACAAGGTCGAAGACTTGGTGTTAAAAAGAGTCACGAGGCCCGACCCTGGACCACTCAAGTCGAAGTGGGAGGGACCTCACAAGATATATAAGCGAAGTTCTCCTACATGGAGCCTACTGACTAGAATATCTGGATGGGACCCCGCATACGTACCCATGTAACGTGGCTTTCCTAAAAAAATACTACCAGTAGGACGGCTAGGTTTGTTGAGGTCGTAAATTGTAAGGAACTCCGATTTTTATAAAATTCCTCAGTTTCTTATGAGTCTNGGTAAGATACTTGCACAGAAGCTACTCAACCAGGCCACATGTGTCATCATAGTTAAATGACGAACAGACACATAGCAGATTAGCTCGAATAAGTGAAGATACTTCAATTTTTTTTTCCCGAAACGATAGATAACTTTATATATCAAAATGCACAAATGTGCGAATACACAGCAGCCAACGGCTGAAAAAGTGGGAGGACAGGTTAGAAACTCGCCTAGAATCCCGACTAGCCACGCTAGAATAAAAAGCACACTCACAACTAAACTAACCAACAACACAAACAACTAGAACAACTACAAGGACCCTAACAGGGTAATACCCTAGTGTCGGACCCCAACGGAGTAATAAGTTTGACACTCGGGCTCACAGGGGCCAACACCAAACCAAAACACAAGTCCTATTACAACACAACACATATAACACAAAACAGATAAAACAAATACTAAAGAAACGCCCTTCCCCAGCCAATAAAACAGATCGTATCCACTAGGGAAACAGTCAATCCAAGAAATATCCGAAATCCTAGGCCCAACTCCCGAAACTACTGCCGAACGCCTATACAGAAGCTAATCCCGAGACAAACCCGAATCAACCCACCTTCGACCGAGAGGACAACCGGCCAGCTCCCGTCGACCGGGCCCACCCAGTTCCCACACCAGAGAACCGGAAGAGAAGAAGCTGTCCGTTCCCCTACTCCGGCACCCTGACCAAGGACAGGACGCCGGATTTCCTTGCCATCCGCCGACCAACACACCTCTCAACACCCTGCCGACCAATGATAACTCAACCTCAAGCCCCAAAAGTCCAAACCCAGAAGCCCATCTTGAAATCGCCCATGAACCTCCAAGCTCTGACCACGGAAACAAGGCGGTGAACCCACTAATCGAAGCCAATCGACAACCACATAAGGAATCAACCAGACGTCGACCGAGGCTCACCTGCTCTGTCACACTCTGTCGTCGACTTTCAAGAGAGCGCCGGAGGACCGCCGTAGCGAAGATTCCAGTGAAAACAGCTACCCGCCACTCCTTCCCGGCACCAGAAAAGGCAAAAACTGGAATTTGGGGCGGAACTACCATCTCCCCGGCGCAGAAGAACCCCTCCCGTCGGCACATCTCTCTATAATGTCACTTTGTCCTGCGGCTTCCACCAAGTGTCCGACGAGCCCAGTTAAGCAACCATCGCAGCGAATTGGGAGAGACACGATGTCTGGGATGGCAAAGCAGTCGTTGGTGACCAATGGCCCGATCCGATCCTTCGCCGGAGAAGGCTACACGGCGGCGATTTGGAGTCTAGGTTTAGAGAGAGAGAAAGAGGGAAGGTTCGAGAGAAAGGGTCGATTTTTGACCCTTTAATTTGCGAAGATACTTCAATAGAAAATACAATTTGCACAAAAAGCATTACAAAAAGTAAAACCCGTGCAAATTCAAAAAATCTCTCAAACTCCCTAGAAATTCTCTCTCTATATTCATTGTAAAAAAATAGTGATTATTGGTAATTAATTCGGGCATCTAAAGCCCAGAGGTCAACATATCCAAGTCCAAATTTCATACTTTCACAAGAAAATCTCTTGTCATCTTATATTTTTATCTCCTTAATTCATACATAATTCTTGATTAACCGATTGATACAAATCCATATATAAACAATATATTTATTTAAAAAAATCATACAACATATTGTTAAAAAAAAATTCAATCCCATAGAGTAATACAACACAAATCCACATATAAACATTATATTTATTTAAAAAAATCATACAACATATTGTTAAAAAAAATTCAATCCCATAAGCGTCATATTTTCACGCTAGTTCGGATAAATATACAGTGCAACGACCTAACGTCACAATTTTATTTTTTATTAAACATATATATAAAAACATTGTCCTAATTTCTAACATTATAAGAATATTGTTAAATATAGTTATTAAACAAACTAATCTTGATACCTATATATATTGTTTGTATCTATATATTATATGTATGTTATTTGCAAACATTATAAAAATATTTGTTGCATTATTTTTTAAATAAAATAATCAATATATATATATACATATATATATATATTGTTGTATCTTATTGTATTTTGTTAAACATATAGTAACAATTTTATGACTTAGATTACCTGTTAAGAATTCCCTATAACTTTTTAGGAACTACTCAATTATTCTTCTAATAAAAAAATAATATTGATATGCATAATATTGTATGTAATTGTATTTTTGTCAATCATATATTGATAATTTAAATATCTAAATGTGTGCAAGATAGTATTTCATTAAATTATATTTTTAGTATTAAAACTAATTTAAAATAACAAAAATAAAATGTAAGTATTAATGTAGAGTAAACTGTAGCGCGAGCGGTTGGAGATGAAACTAGATTGTTGATTAACTGTACTTTAGGGTAAAGTAAATTCTATACTAAAGTAGAGACAACGACTAGAGATAGTCTTACATTAAGAGCATCTACAATGCATTGGGTCTAGTATTGCCCATGTGACATGTAAATAAACTCAAGTCTTGGATGAAATAAATAAATTTATGTAAAATTAACAAAATCTACTCAAATGCAAAGAAACTAGGTCTCTACTTGGGTCTAAAATAGACTTAAAGGTAGACCAGGTCTCTTTTTATGGCTGCCACACCAGCAAGACCAGTCTACTTTTATTTGCATTGGAGAATATATTTTTTTAGATTGTGTCTATTTTTTAGGTGACATATAATATTTTGTGATTAAAATCAAAGCATTGTGGATGCTCTTAAGAACATCTACAATGCATTGGTTCTAGTCTTGCCTATGTGGCATGTTAATAAACTCAAGTCTTGAATGACATGAATAAAACTATTTAAAATTGATAAAATCCACTCAAATGCAGAGAGACTAGGTCTCTACTTGGGTCTAAAATAGACCTAAGGGTAGACCGAGTCTCTTTTTTCTGGCTGCCACATCAGCAGGACCCGGTCTACTTTTGTTTGCGTTGGAGAATACATTTTTTTAGACTATGCCTATTTCTTAAGTGGCATCCCATTTTTTGTGATTGAACTCAAAGCATTGTGGATGCTCTAAGCATGGCATGGGATACTATCAATAACTCCAACCTATGAAAAGATTTTCCGAATTCAAACCATTTTACAAAATCATTAATATCATTCGGATTGTAAATTATCTAGGAGAAATAATATTAAATGACTAAAATACATAATCTCATCAACTAGTTTATTCCCTCTATTTCATTTTCACATCACCTATAAAAAGAGCATGTTGTTCTCATTCTTTTCATCACATTTACAAGAAGCTAAATAGATTTTAAAAAAACATAAAAATAAGAAGAAAAAGAAATGTCACGGGTAGTATTTTACTCTATTTTCCTCATTTTTGCACTCGTATTTCTCACCACACCCTTCCTCGCTCAAGGGGTCGAGGATGAAGATTCGAATCCATCATTTGGCGAAAAAGACAAAATTTTAAATGGAGATGACGAGATGTGGAGTCTCGACTCATCCAAACACCACCACTACAACCATCACCACCGCCGCCACCCAGGGGCTCCATCACCACATTACCACCATCGTCACCACCACCACCACGCTCCGGCACCTCATGGCAGCCACCACCACCACCACGCTCATGCTCCATCACCTCATGGCTGCCGGCACCATGGCCATGCCCATCCTCCCAAGAAGGCTACAACCCCAAGCCCTAGTTGGATATGATGGAAAAGTTCAAAATATTAAAGCCTATGTTTAATAGCTTGGGCTAGCTTTGTAATAATAAAGTATTATCAATAAAATGGGGAATAACAAATTGAAGGAAATTGTTCTTGATGTGATACTACTAATGATTTCTATGCAAGATTATTGTGTGATATATTTATGTTGGATGGTTATATTATTCACGTGTCAAATCAATTAAATTTTGTGTTTCCAAACAAAATATATATACACCTAATTTTGGACAAGTATTCATTATTATTTTTTTTTCCAGAAATTGTATTTTTGTTTATTGGCTTCTCGAGCTTTATTTCTCTATAATTGACGCTTAAAATATTTTCTTATGACATAAATATTTGTCTGAAATGCATAGTTCAGAAAATCGGACCGGACCAGCCGGTTCGACCGGTCCAACTGAGAACCGGCCAGCTCACCGGTCCGATTTGTATCAGTCAACCTATATGCTAAATATAGGTCAGACATTGTTCGACAAACCCAAGTGTTTTTTTAAAGATATTCTTGTTAGGCAAGTAAACTAAATTAAAGTGAAATTTTCTATTTATTTTCTATTAATTAATTAAGTTCATAGTATTCATTGTTAATAATATATGGTATATATTTATTATAGAATGTAATATGGCTTCATAATCCTTTAGGAAAAAGATTACATAAAATATATCGTATTAAAATTCACCTATCATAAAGATGTCACCTGTATTAATAAGTCGAATTTTATACCATAATTAGTTTTCTCTTTCTTGTGGGACAAGAACTACGTGGGAAAGACTATAAAATGATGAGCTACCTACACATGAAGAATCCTAGACATTTTGGATAAGATCGAAGGAGGATTTGAAAAGATTCACCATAAAATCATATTAGATTTTGAAGATCAACTATTTTAGAAAAATCATGTTCCTGCACGATTTTTGAAATGTCATTTTAAAGATCTTCAGATCACATAAACGGATTCTACTCAAAGGAAACTTACTCTTGGGAAAGAATGTGAAGATCACTTCAATCTAAGGTATCCTTACCTAGTTATGATTCGTCTTTCCTTTATATATATTAGACCACGAAATCTAGAAGAAGAGCCGAGTTTTATTGTTCTCTTCTGAGCATATTTAGTTGCTCCATTTTCTGAGAGTTCGTGAGTTTGTTGATTATATTTTATAGCTTGTGAATTCAGGATTTTAGTTTTGTGTTCCTGCACCTTTGAAAGACTGAAACATAGGATATTTGTACCTTTGGGTATTATCAACTGGATCAAAATTGCTAAAACCAGTAAACTCGCGACGGTCTAGCGATCCAACAAGGTCTATTTTTAACTTTGCTTTTGTCTAGTTGGAGGTCACTTAAATAGCAAACATTTGATATGTATTGTTCCGATGTGGGATATCAGCTTTCACAAATAAATGCTAATGCCCATGGCTGAAATAATTGGGCCCAAATTGGGCTTACATGACATCCAAACCTTTTTATCTTATTCACAATTTGAAGTCTCATTAATTCTAGTTGTCTAAGTCCCATTGTAAAGAATAATGAATTAACATTTATTTGCTCATCTACTTTTTACTTTTTACTTTTTTTTTTAATTGTTGATTTCAATATTAAAATTTAAAATGAAAAAAAATATAAAAAAAACTATCAACATTATTCAATATTGTCGGCTATATCTATAATTGAACTCCTTTTTGGATAAATGTCATTATACACTATAAAATTAATGATAAAAATATATAACATCATATATCATATGTATAAAATAAATAAAAAAATTATAAATCAATTAAACCGGTTCGACCACTGGTCCGACCAGTGAACCATTAAACCTGTAGCTTCATCGGTTCGGTATTTAGGACCATGATTAATCCACAACACATTTAGTTACTCCATCCTCCGAGAGTTCGTGAGTTTATTGATTATATTTTATAGCTTGTGAATTCAAGATTTAAGTTTTGTGTTTTTCTGCATCTAGTTTGTACTTTTGGGTTATTATTAGCTTGGAGGGATTGTAATAATAGTTGTTAGTCCATGTTGTGGCCAAAGAAGTAGTTAGTAGAATCGAATATAGATGATAGGTTTATGATGGAGTCTTTTATTTGTGATTCCAAACTATATAATGCGGGAGCCGGGAGGCAACTAATCTATTACCATATAATATAGAAAGGGGTTTACTTGAAATAGTATTGAAATTCCTCTTTAAAATTTTCAAAGTTACTATTCTTAGTATTTTTTTTTGTAGAAAATGGCAGTTGGATGAAAATTGAAATTCAAATTTAAAACAAAAATATTATTTGAGAAACATATTGTGTAAACCGTAATTCCTAAGAATATGGGAAATTATTTCCTTAAATGTTATGGATAAATCTAGTCAATAATGAGAAAAAATCTTGAGAATCTTGCTTCCAAAAAATCTGGTCAATCATTTCCTTAGACTTTTCTCGGTCATACGTGTAAATTTGATTACAAAAATTCGGTCAATCATTTAACGAATAAAAGGTTTGAAATCTTTTTCGAAAAGTTATGTCAACTTAATTGTTAAATATTTTTTATCCATATTTATCTATCTACAAATCTCATATTTTATGGTCACAACTAAAAATTCATATTTATTTAATAATAAGGAATGTTAATTTTAGAAATTAATTTTTATATTTCGGATTGTTCAACTTAATTGATGATTTTTTTGTCTATATTTATCTAACTACAAAATCTTATAAATTTTAGAAATAATCTCATATTGCGTGGATTCTTGGTTGCTATTTTTTGTACACATCGAATGAACAATTAGTTAGAATAAATATTGGAAAAAGAAACTCTATCATTTAACAAATACAAAATTTGAAATTTCTTGAAATCTTTTCGAAAAGTCATGCCAACTTAATGGTTAAATATTTTTTTTATCTATATTTATCTATATACAAATCTCATATTTTATGGTTACAACTTAAAAATTGTATTTATTTAATAAAGAATGTTAATTTTAGAAATTAATTTTTATATTTCAGATTGTTCAACTTAACTAATGATTTTTTTGTCCATATTTATCTAACTACAAAATCTTGTAAAGTTTAGAAAGAATTTCATATTATGTGGATTCTTGGTAGCTAAAGCAAATCATACTCCCCCTGTTTGACAATGTGTTATTTTAGTTCAAAAAGAACAGAATTATAAATTTAACGAGAATTGTTATTTTATCCTTATATAATATTTTTTTTAAATCTCTTATATCCGATTTTAATAGTTTTTATATATACTCTCCCGTTCTCTCCTTGCATGGAAGTTATCACTATTGTTATATCAATTTTTGTTTTATTTATCATGACTTTTTTTTTTTTCAATGAGAACCAAATATGAGATTTTTAAGATTTATGATAAGGATGGTTATAAGAAAATACATAAATACATCTAAAACGACATTTAAAAAATCATAAATATTACAAACTCAAGCGGCATTTATTCATAAACGGATGGAGTAAGAAGATAGTAAAAAGTAAATATCATACAAATTAATATTGAAAAAGAAAATAATTCGGTAAGACAAAATCACACACCATATTTACAAATTGATGAGATTTAAATTTAAATATAAAACCTATGTCGCACAAAGAATTTGATGATATTTAATTTTTAATATAAAATTAATATATGATTTATCCGAATATAAGATTTCATTATACAACAAAATTAATAAATAATCTATATATACCAATTTAAATATAAAATTAATATATGATTTATCCGAATATAAGATTTCATTATACAACAAAATTAATAAATAATCTATATATACCAATTTTATTTTATTTTATTTTATTTTTTTTAGATGTATATGTACCAATATATTAATGCTAACTTTAAATATCTCATATTTATTATATATATATATAAATAATGACGATTCCTATAATTAATTTCATTGTACATCATGTTTTAGATTTTATTGATTTGGTTGAAGACACTCATTCTCTTCAAATAAATAATATATATTTTTCATATTTTGTTTTTCTTTTCTTACAATAATGGGATGTTAAATGTCAATAATTATATTTAAAATAAAATTTTAAGAAAAAAGTTTTAAGTAACAAACGCACGGGATGCGCCATAGTTTGCTAATTAATAAAACGAGAAATGTGGTAAATAATTTAACTCAATCGCTATTCACCGCCCCCCTTTTACTAGTCACCGCCCCCCCC